TGATAACTAATGAACACGTTTTGATTGTATTTGCGCTACAATTTTTTCATCTGTTGCTTTAAATGCTCTTTAAAGCAGGGTGGATTCTGATTGGCTGTCAATGTTTTTATCACTCATCAGCCGGAAAAATCGCTCTGAAAGTGATTCCAGTGAAATCGTTCCTCTGTCGTTATCGTTACCTGGCTCGCGAGATCCACTTTCCTGCAGTTTAGCTCGAACGCTAATCAAGCACACCTGAGCAAGCTAATCAATGTCTTCAGGATCATTAGAAAATCACAGGTAGCCGAGTTTGATCAGGGTTGGAGCTCAACTCTGCAGGAAAGTGGATCTCACGAGCCAGATTTGAGGATCTCTGACCTTTTTACACCTTTGTGATTAGTTATTAATCATAAACTATGTTATTAATCATAATCATCTCCTTAACCTGGCTTACACATATGATTATGATCATAACACACTATCATATTTCGACTCCAATGTGGTAAAAACATTTTTTATGAAGTCAGACATTTAGATATCAAACATTTATTCTGTGTCTCTTTTTGCAAAACATTTAATTGCTGCTGAATACCATGAACAAAAATCAGCCGTCTGCATAAAAACTGGACTCGATTAAGAGCTGTTTGTGTGCAAAATAGAGCGGCACGCTTCTTTTTTTAATGGAGGTTGTAGTTCTCTCACAATTCTGAAGAAAAAATATTAGACAACTAAACAAAATCTCATGGAATTTATGAATGGAATGAACTGATTTATTACCAGTGTTGGAAAACGTTTCACTGCTTAATATTTTTTGGGACCGGTGACATTTTGTTCAGGATTCTTTGATGAATAGAAAGCTAAAAAGAACAGCACTGATAATAAATCAACATATTGGAATGATTTCTGAAGGATTATGTGACACTGAAGACTGACTGGATATTATTTGAAGACCCCTGAGATTTTCAGGTAATAAGTTAATAATTAGCATCACATTTGCATGTTCACGGTTCTCTGGCATTGATTAATGATCACATGACATGCAGGTAAACAAACAGAATATTTAATGTTTTTAGTACGCGTTATATTTTGAGTGATGTTATTTTAAAATGATTTATTTTCAGTTGACATTGTTATGATTTTCAGTAAACTCACGAACCCCTGCAGTTCCTTTATGAACCCCAGTTTGGGAGACTTTGATATAATGTAACGTTTAATACACTTCATATTGTCACTAAGTACGAATGGAATATTTTCTTTTTCTTCACATTTTTATATCAGTTTGGTAAGACTATACTATTTAAATCAATGTGATAAACAAGTTAGGTGAAAAGTAATCTAAAAGTAGTCTGATTATATTACCTAAATTGTGTAACGTGATGGATTATGTTACTAACTACAATTTCTGTCTTGTAATTTAGAATCAATAACAGATTACAATTTGTAAGTAATCTACCAGCTCTGTGTGTGTGTGTGTGTGTGTGTGTGTGTGTGTGAGTGAGTGAGTGAGTGTGTGTGTGTGAGTGAGAGAGAGAGAGTGAGTGAGTGAGTGAGTGAGAGAGAGAGAGAGAGAGAGAGAGAGTGAGTGAGTGAGTGAGAGAGAGAGAGAGAGAGAGAGAGAGTGAGTGAGTGAGTGAGAGAGAGAGAGAGAGAGAGAGAGAGTGAGTGAGTGAGTGAGAGAGAGAGAGAGAGAGAGAGAGAGTGAGTGAGTGAGTGAGAGAGAGAGAGAGAGAGAGAGAGAGTGAGTGAGTGAGTGAGAGAGAGAGAGAGAGAGAGAGAGAGTGAGTGAGTGAGTGAGAGAGAGAGAGAGAGAGAGAGAGAGTGAGTGAGTGAGTGAGTGAGAGTGAGTGTGTGTGTGTGAGAGTGTGTGAGTGAGTGAGTGAGTGAGTGAGTGTGAGAGAGAGAGTGGGTGAGTGTGAGAGAGAGAGAGTGAGTGAGTGAGTGAGTGAGTGAGAGAGAGAGAGAGAGAGAGAGAGAGAGAGAGAGAGAGAGAGAGAGAGAGAGAGAGAGAGAGAGAGAGAGAGAGAGAGAGAGAGAGAGAGAGAGAGAGAGAGAGAGAGAGAGAGAGAGAGAGAGAGAGAGAGAGAGAGAGAGAGAGAGAGAGAGAGAGAGAGAGAGAGAGAGAGAGAGAGAGAGAGAGAGAGAGAGAGAGAGAGAGAGAGAGAGAGAGAGAGAGAGAGAGAGAGAGAGAGAGAGAGAGAGAGAGAGAGAGAGAGAGAGAGAGAGAGAGAGAGAGAGAGAGAGAGAGAGAGAGAGAGAGAGAGAGAGAGAGAGAGAGAGAGAGAGAGAGAGAGAGAGAGAGAGAGAGAGAGAGAGAGAGAGAGAGAGAGAGAGAGAGAGAGAGAGAGAGAGAGAGAGAGAGAGAGAGAGAGAGAGAGAGAGAGAGAGAGAGAGAGAGAGAGAGAGAGAGAGAGAGAGAGAGAGAGAGAGAGAGAGAGAGAGAGAGAGAGAGAGAGAGAGAGAGAGAGAGAGAGAGAGAGAGAGAGAGAGAGAGAGAGAGAGAGAGAGAGAGAGAGAGAGAGAGAGAGAGAGAGAGAGAGAGAGAGAGAGAGAGAGAGAGAGAGAGAGAGAGAGAGAGAGAGAGAGAGAGAGAGAGAGAGAGAGAGAGAGAGAGAGAGAGAGAGAGAGAGAGAGAGAGAGAGAGAGAGAGAGAGAGAGAGAGAGAGAGAGAGAGAGAGAGAGAGAGAGAGAGAGAGAGAGAGAGAGAGAGAGAGAGAGAGAGAGAGAGAGAGAGAGAGAGAGAGAGAGAGAGAGAGAGAGAGAGAGAGAGAGAGAGAGAGAGAGAGAGAGAGAGAGAGAGAGAGAGAGAGAGAGAGAGAGAGAGAGAGAGAGAGAGAGAGAGAGAGAGAGAGAGAGAGAGAGAGAGAGAGAGAGAGAGAGAGAGAGAGAGAGAGAGAGAGAGAGAGAGAGAGAGAGAGAGAGAGAGAGAGAGAGAGAGAGAGAGAGAGAGAGAGAGAGAGAGAGAGAGAGAGAGAGAGAGAGAGAGAGAGAGAGAGAGAGAGAGAGAGAGAGAGAGAGAGAGAGAGAGAGAGAGAGAGAGAGAGAGAGAGAGAGAGAGAGAGAGAGAGAGAGAGAGAGAGAGAGAGAGAGAGAGAGAGAGAGAGAGAGAGAGAGAGAGAGAGAGAGAGAGAGAGAGAGAGAGAGAGAGAGTGAGTGAGTGAGTGTGTGTGTGTGTGTGAGTGAGTGTGTGTTGATCAGACACTGTTGTGTGTGAGTGAGTGAGTGAGAGATGATCAGACACTGTCGTTTGTGTTTGTGTGTCTAACCTGTCTCTCTCTCTCACAGGCCCTGAGGAAGCAGCAGACGGGGGTCCTGATGCCTCAGAGCTGCCCACAGAGATGCCTGCACCTAAATTAGTCATATGAATGGGTCCATGCTATGAGCAGAAAAACACAACAGCATTAACACACACTCTCATTTACATACACACACACACACACACACATCAGTGACTGATCATCTCACACACACACAGACACACACACACACACACACACACACACACATGAGTGAGTGAACATCTCACACAACACACAGCAGTGACTGATCATCTCACACACACACACACACACACACAGGTTTGTTTTTGTGAAAAGTGGGGACTCTCCATAGGCGTAATGGTTTTTATACTGTACAGACCGTATATTCTATTGCCCTACACCAACCCTACCCCTAAACCTACCCCTCACAGGAGACTTTCTGCTATTTCAGATTTTCAATACACTCCATTCTGTGTGATTTATAAGCGTTTTGAAAAGTGGGGACATGGGGTAATGTCCTGAAAAGTCACCTTCTCCTTGTAATACCTGTCATACC